CAATTGAACAATGAGAATTTCATATCCTCTAGAAAACTGCAGATAGTGACTTTACATACAAATCTCCCAAATATGTAGTGTGTGTGTATGTGTGCATGGGCACACATATTGTCCAATGGTGAATTTTTAAAAAAGCCTTTTTATGTCTTCTCACAAAATGACTCTTTTATTTTTTTCTCATGTGAGAATATTATTTCAGCCCTAATTGTTAACTTTATTGGTGAAGAAAAATTAGCTTGTCCTGAGCAAAGTTGAGAATGTGCATTGGTATATAGACGTATGTGTAGGTAGGTACTTATGTATATGTACACACCTGTATATACCTGCACATACATGTTGATTTGTTGCACATACACTCCTGACATTACAAGGCTGCAACTTACAGGGAGAATCAAACAAGAGCACCATCAGGAAGTTCTCTGGAAGGGGGCCCCTCCCAAACTACGATGGTCCTCAGCTGGTAGTGCAGAAAGCAGATGGGGCCCATGGGCATTCTCAACAAGCTCCTCACGTGGTACTAAGAGAGGATCGAACATCAGAGTGACAGGATCACGGCAATAAAGGGCTTTTGCTGTGTGTGCATGTGTGCATGCATGTAGTGGGTATAAGTGTATGTGTAGATGTTTGTATGCTGTGTGCTTTCTTGGAAGAATAGAGTGCTCACCAGAGCTCCCTTTACATAAAAAGTGGCTACTTTCCAGGAAGTAGAAACAGCCTTCAGATGTCATCATAGGTTATCAAGGACCTCAGGATGTTCAGGGGGAAATGGGATGGGGCTGAGATGGTTGCCTAAGCAACTAAGTTGCACCTGTACTGTTTTACTTTTATTTTTTTTAACATGGAGGTTTCACTGTTTAATTAAAATATTGTTTTAAGAAAAAATTACAGGTGGGATGAGGTTCTACCTCCTGGGCATTGCCCATGGAAAAACAAATAACAGCCTCTATTTATGCACAAAGCATGTGCATCGCATATGGGCTTCCTTTGGGCTTATTTGCTCACCTCTGTCCACATTGCAGGTGACAAGCATTGGCATTTGTTGGTGGAGTCTTTTAAGAATCCCTTTCACTTCTGCCACCATTTTTATTTACTTTACGTTTTACATAAAATGTGTATCCTTATCTTCGTTTTAGAGAAGAGCCTAGTTTTGGAAAGTCTAATGTAAACTACTGCTTTTTAAATCTGTACTTACATCCTCATAATTAGACAGGGTAAGGGCTCAATTATAAACCAGCATTTTAGGGAGATAATTATCTTCCTCCTTGCCATATGCCAGGATAAAGCTAGTGACTTTTTTTGTTTTAATTAACATATTTTTTAAGGACGGTACTAGAAGCCCAAGTTTAACATCACCATCATCACCACCACCACAAATAAAAGAGCAGAATTTTGGGAAGAGGGCACAAGCTCCTGGCTCAGACAGATCCTCATTTGCTTCCAACAAGTTGCTAGAAGTGACTTTAGGCAAATCACACGATCTATTAATTCTTATCATCTTCATTTATAAAATGAGGGCAATGCTGTCTTCAAGGATCAATTGACATAGGGCAATGGAAGTTCACTGTAACCCTCACAGTTCACTATACTATAAGAAGTTTATAGAGAAGGGACCATTAAATGTACTTGACATGGTGTAATAATTGCTATTAAGACAGCCTGTATTGTACAGCTGTGTATAGCACTCAGGGTAAGACCTTTCTCTCATTTCTAAAGTTGAAAGCTAAAAGTTCTCATTGAGCCAGGAGAGAATATTTTCCAACAGCAAAGGATACCTGTTTTGGAATCCTGGCCTTGTCAATTGCTTGGTGTGTGATCTCAGGTAGCTTAATTTCTTTGTGCCTCAGTTTCCTCACTGTAAATAAGAATAGCTTACAATTTATGAAGTTTGAATCTGGCTGGTGTGGCTCAGTGGACTGGGTGCCAGCTTGTGAACTGAAAGGTTACCAGTTCAATTCCCAGTCAGGGCACATGCCTGGGTTGAGGGCCATACCCTCAGTTGGGGGTGTATGAGTGGTAGTTGATCCATGTTTCTCTCTCACATCATTGATGTTTCTGTCCCTCTCTTTCTCCTCCCCTTCCCTCTCTCTAAAAACAAATAAATAAAATCTTTAAAAAAAACTATGAAGTATGCTGCGAGCTCATCACGGAGATTGTTTTATTTATTCTACAGAGCAATATTAAGAGGCATGTAACATCCTGATTTATGGATGAAAAAACAAAGGCACAGAACTTTGGTTTAACTTGTACTGGTTGCAGCTAGCAAGTGACAGAATCAGGATTCAAACTCACAACATCTGCTTCTAGAGCCCACATTTTTAAAACCTTTATATGTGTTACCAACTTGTTATGAGTATCAAGATAATTGAATGAGATAAGTGTAAGATACTATTAAGATAACTAAATGGGGTAAATAACAGTCCTGCTGGGAGTATTAAATCATTAAATGAAATAAGGAACACAAGAGCCTGAGCTGGATTCTTGGCTCATAGTAAGCACTCATTAAAGGTAAACCTAGCACTTACTATTTTTTCATCTTCATCATACAAGCTTTCCCTTCACCAACGGTGAATTAATCACCAGAACAGATGTTTCATTGAAATGCACAATTTGTTTTGATTGTTGATCTGAAGACTGACATTTCCATGCCCAGGAATAGCCTGGTGTGCCAAACAGCCAGTGCACCGGCAGAAGGCACCACCAGTGGCTATGGCAGCCTATTGCTCAGCTGGGCAGCCCCACACCACATCCCCTGACGGACACAGGTACGGCCACATGTGTGGATAAGGAATGTACCCTTGAAGGAAACACACAGAAGCCAAAGGACTCAGAACACAGACTCGCAGGTACCTTTTCAGACTAAGCTTTTATTTTTTGATATTACAAACCAGTTTTCTTTATTCACAAACCACTGTAAGTGATATAAACACTAATTTCTAAAGACAGATATACACATTTTCTGGGTTTGCAGATTGCATGATGTGTGTCTTAAGAAGTCACTATATGCCACACATGATATTAATCTTTTTTTCATAATTCATAATAGCAATAGTTATTTAGATAAATGAAAACATTCCAAATAAATACTGTTTTAAAAAATCCAAAATGTTTGTTTACATCTCTGACATACATTTTAAAATGACTTGTTGGCATCTTGGAGGAGTGCCTAGACAAAAGATTCTGCAACATCAGTTGGCACCCACTTGCTCTAAATGATTTTATTAAAACTACATACAATCATGGGGGAAAAGTACAGCTCATCAATGAAAATCAAAACTGCAAATTAATTTTACTTTAACCAACACAGTAAGAATTCTATGTTTGTGATTCCAAATACAATGCAAATTCTGAATTGTGAAATTTGAGGCGATTGAGAGAAATCTGTTTATTCTCCCTAGCCCCCTGCTCTTTGATCTTTCTCCCCTCCAGGTTAGGATGCCGTAGCATTTTAATAAATTGTTGTCCTTAAAAACATCAACCAGGCATCCATTGTCATCACATTGTTTCCCAGGTGGGGGGATGAGAACGTCTTAGTGATGCTGTAAAACACCCCTTTGCCCCTCCCCTCCCCTACCCAAAGAAGTCTGTTGAAAAGAACATTGTATATGCTTTGGGCTGCTAAGCAGTTTCCCCCCTTTCTCTCATTTCAAGATAACGGTCATCTGCCTTAGATATCGAAGCTACAGAAACTTGGTTTTCAAATCTTGTGAAACTTTATTGATGGTTTAATATCCAACCGATCTTACTGCATGCACATAGGATGACAAGAATGCTGGATCACAAACACTTTTTTTTTTAAGTTTTGTTTGGTTTTGTTTGAAAGCAGAGTTGTTACAGCGGATTGGCAGGTTCACAGCGGTGAGTTGATAACTTACTAAAGTGCTTGCCAGAGGGCCTGCACTGTACACATGAAGATTTAACTAGGGCAGCAGAACTACTGGGGACAACTTGCTGCTGTTTGTTGAATTTAAATACAAAAACAGGAAGACCCGTGACAGATACCCCAACTTAGGTTAACTTGTAAACAGGACAACATGGAAGGAGTTCAAACAGAAGTAATTCAGACAAACTGCAATTTTTCGGCCGTGTCCCCCTGGCCCTGCTTCAGAGGTGGGGGTACTCTATTCTTCAGGGAGAAAGAGGGTAGACCTACTTTTTTGCTTCCTTCTGACAAATGTCCTGGGCCTTGGAGACAGAACTAAAGGTACTGATTTGAGATAATCCCTGGGGACCAAGAGGAATGGTGGGGCAGGCTCTCTCTCACGTACTGAAAAATTGCAGGTTGCTCACATAATACAGTCATGTTTCAAAAAGTACCAAGCTGATGAAAATACCGTGATTATCTCTACTCAATGATTGCAATACTTGTAAAATGCTTCTATAAATCCAAATATGATTATCATGTAATTCCATAAAAATTATACGTCTGTCTCTAACAGTTGTTCTACTAGGCTAAAACTAAAGCTTCATAGACTGTTTCTAGAACTTAACAACTCCACTGCACAGATGTAAATTTTATACATTTTTTTAACTGGTACAAAGAATTTAAGTTTTTATTACTTTCTTTTTTTGGAAAAAAAGAAAAAAATAGAAACAGTGCTTTTTATCACCTTTTTATTAATGTTATTTTTCCCTCCCATAATATAAAAGTCAGCAATGATATCAATAATTTATTATACTGGAAGAAATATAAAAAGAATGCTTGTTGATGGCCTAACTAGCAGTTTTTACCTAAATAACTAGCGGCTGGTTAAGAAGCTGAATACTGCCGGGGGGATGGTTTAAAGGGTGGGTTTGCACAGCTTCATTCAACTTGGATGCACAAGGGCTGCTAGAAGCACCCCCTTAACAGCATAACCTTTGGCCTGAACTGACAATGAGTAACTTAGACCGTTGCTATATGATTGTTGGTGCAGTGGGTCGTTTAGATTCATCAGTTATTATTTTTTTTTTCATTTAGTCAACCCCAGTCCCAACCCCCTAAGTCCCTCCCACCCTTCCCCTTTCATAAAATAAAATAATGCAGATGCAGAAAAAATGACTTCTGTAGTCACTTACACTCTTCCCGAACAGCTGATAACCCCAGTAGCTTAATATTCAGCATATATAATTCATTTACATGATAAAGCACTCTGGATATGGCCCTAAACCAGTTTTTATTCATAGCTAGCATCTCTCTAGATCAACCACAAAAAAAAACTCCTACAGCCAGCAACCAAACTACGGAACCTTCAGAAATTAAAGACCCACAATATTAAAATACACAGAACAAAATATCTGAGGTATAAGATAAAAAATGTAATTTTTTTCCTCTTTTTAGTTTTTAGAGTTGCTAAAATGATGCACTACTGCATGTATTGCAATACCCAGGCCTCGGAAAGCTTCCTTTCTCCCCACATTGGAAGGTTTTTATGGTTTTGTCATTTAGTATGGAGCAAAACGGTTGTATCCCCCTCGGTATATACTAGCCTGCAATGAAGAAAGAACGAGACCCACATCATCAGCATGGCTCCTAGTCTTGGCATCAGTCAAGGGTGCAAAAGCATTCTGAAACAAAGCAATTTGAGGGGTGTGTTTTTTACATTTTCCTTTTGCAACACGTGGATCATCAAAAAAAGACTAATGTGAAAAATAGACACTCAAAATCAACCAAATGGAGGCACCCCCTACCCATCCCAGGTCATTCTTGAACTAGAGATAGGGCCAGCCCTGACCTCCCACAAAAGCTCCTTATACAGAAACCCCCAGTAAAATCAAAGTCTGTCAGCCAGTCCTGGTAGCTAAAAGGACTCTGATACAAACTGGACCACTGAAGGACATGCACTGTCTCAGTCTGTTTGCTTGTTTGATTCATTAACACTATGTTCCATCGGGAAAAGCTCAATCTACACTCAAGAGGTTGAATGTAGATGACTGATTGAATAGAGTAATTCAACTCTCCTTTCCAACATGTAACTCAAGTGGACTAGGTGTTGAAGCAGAGTTGTTGAATGCAAAATCAGGATGAAAATTTAAATCAGCTTCTTACTTGACTTGGCTCACTGAGTTGTATAAGATTGGCTCTTAAGAGGGGAGTTGTACAGATGAATTGCTTGATGTAACTGAGCTTGTGCAAAAGAATATGGTTCCTAGATCGTGGCCGAATTTCCACGACCACGCTCCAGCGAATTGTTTGCCCATGGCTTTAGACAGCTACGAGGTGGCACTTAACTTATTTCCTTTTTCTAAAAGTTTTGGCGATTCAAATGAATGCCTATGGGGATTGAGCTTTAGGATAAGGACTGATATTCTTGATCCCAAGCAGAAAGCTGCATGCCAAAAGCTTTGTAATGATTGCATACGCTCTCACATGATGGGCACGTCTTACTGTACTCAAGAATTTTAGTGCATAGAAGTTTGAACAAGTACAGGCAAATTCACCCACCCACACCTCCCCTTTTTGCCCTCCCCCCAACCCCCAAACAAAAACCCAAACCCCCGCAAAACAAAAGACAACCCCACACCCAGCTGATTCCTCCTAATTCCTTATGTACTAGGCACACACACAAAGTGTGCCCCTCTCTATTTTCTTTCCTGGGCGACTATGACTTTAAACATGAATTGTAATAGGGGAGGAGAGGCAGTCAGATTCTCAGCTGCCTGACAGCAGAGGCCTGGAAGTGTGCAGCTTAGCTCCTCTGAAGTCTGTGCTGGGGCTGGAACCTTGGGGCTATGTGAATGAGCAGCAAGGGAGGAAAAAAAAAGAAAAAAAAAGTTCTGCATTGACACTGCATTCTGTTAGTGATGGATTTAATTATCAAAATGACTAATTATTCCATTAAGGTAAGTGCTCTGCTAGGTGAGACTTGCAAAATTAGAAATATAATAACTTACATGCACTACATTGCCAAGAAATTAAGACATTTATCAAGTTTACTGGGAGGATTAATGTGGCATTTTAGCTGCTGTTAGATTAGCACAAGAGACAAATTCAATTAAGGAAAAGTGAGAGGACGTCAACAGTCAACCCATTGGAAGGTCCCAGCTGGGGAAGGGAAGGGAGGCAGGAAGAAGTAAGGAAGAGGTGGAGTTGGTACTCACCATGGCACCAACGCCGTAGGTGGGGGCTGGAGCAAGTGTGTGGTGGTAGGGGTCGGCAGCATAAACTCGTCCGTAACTGAAAGGAAAACAGAGGTGAAGATTAATCCATAATATGTGGTTACAAACTAATAATAACAACCACAAAATGCAAAATACCAAGACAGTGTGGAAGGGACCTATTCATCCTCATAAATAAGAAACATATTCCAATCTTACACATAACATGAAAAAGTCCATCTGTGTGTTGCACATTCTTTTATCCATTTAACATAGCTGGAAATATCCTCTCTCTCATAAGACCTTTTCTAACTGCTCATGTAGCTACTTTAGAGACTGAGGCAGGCAAAGGAAAAAAGAAAGAAAAAAAAAACACTTGAAAAAATGGTTTTAAGAAGCCCAGTATCCCGAGAAGACATGTTAATATTCAAGAGAGTCCTTTTTCCCTAATTTAGCTGTCACTAATCAAATGAGACAGGTGGATCAAAAAACAGTGAAGTGACCAAGTCTATGCAGTTAGGATCCAATATCTTAGAATGTAAAGAGAAAATGCATTCAAACTGAAGCATCCTTGAAGGGTTGGCAGGACTCTCACCCCCACAATACTGAGGAATTAGAGCTGATTTGCTTTCAACCCTATCATTCCAGAACTTCTATTTTATCAATCTCTGGCCAGGTTTCAAACACTATTTCTTAATGACATTTCCTTATATTTGAGTTTTTCTGTCTCTTTACCATCTACCTTGCTCCACTGCCATGACTTCCAGTTCAGGTTTCACAATAAAAATGAAGGGATGGAAACCTATTGCATTCAGTGGCTACTGAGTATCTGAGACTGAATGATGCCACAGATCAGAAATTAGGGTTTGGAGAAGTGAAATCATTTGCTCAAGGTCACAGAACTAGACTGGGATAGAGCTGATTTTTAAATTTATCAGAGCAACTAGAATGCTCTTTTCATGGTGGCATGTACCCTTAAGCGACCTTCCAGGTATCTTCTTGAAAATAGTTTGGATACTGCTCTTTCAGTAAGAATCAAAGTTGAGATGCAATCTTAAATGGGATTCCTGGAAGCAGAGTCTGAAATAGAGATTCTTGTGCATATGAAGAAGGGGAAGGAGAAAGAGGCAGGCAGTTCCAGAGCAAGGGATAATAGACTAGCTCTGACCTGATCCCAGGAGTTGTAACCTAGACTTAATTCCCACCTGGAGGTTAATAGGTGGGGTTTCTTAATGCTGATTTAAGTTAAGCATTAGCTCTGATTTCCCGAGGGATGCAGGATAGCTTCTGAGTTCAAGTGGCTTTCTTGGGCAGAGGGTAATTCCCTGAAAAAGGGACTGGAGCAACCAATACCTACAGCAGCTGGGGAATGGGTGTACTAGCCATTAAATGGGAAGTATGTGGATTATCAATAGCTTTTGATTCTTAGACTTTCCTTTAAAGAATGAAGGAACAAGGCAGGCTGGTTTGTCTGTAGTATCAACTATAATCAACCTTAAGCCACCTCCCATCTCTTGGAGTCTAATTTGCATGCCTTTTATTCCTCTCCCTCCTTATCTTTTCTCCTTTTTGCTTCTGATCTTCTTGCTCATAGCTGATGGATAAGAATGTACTAGATGGGTATGGCATTACTGCTTATACCATAGAGCCTGGAAAGGTGGGAAGAAACTGGGTGAAGAAGCTTCTAACTCTTAGGCTCTGAGGTAGACTCCAAATGGAAGTAAAAGTGATTCTACCAGTTCTCGTTGGACAGGTCTTATTCCCAAACTCTCTTTGCCTGTTTCAAAGGGCACTGAGTTCAAATAATCCAGATAAAGCTTTTGACTTCAATGCAGTGTGTTCTCTTGATCCTCAAAAAGCAGTGACATGAATGGATATTTCTTTTCTGGGGGGAATCTCTTGTGAAACAGTCAACCCTCCCCCTTGCATTTCCTTCCTTGGAATACTCTCTAGCCTGCTGGATCATCAAAAATGCCCTTCAAAGATTCTCCTTCTCTCTGGAAGGAAAAACAGATGGAAGTCCAAGACAGAGAGTGTGTTACAAGAAGAACAATGATGACTGTTTTGAAGAAATCACTTATTCAGGGAGGTCACTCATGAAACCTAGGCCTTGATCCACGTAAAATTAGAAGTAGATATTAATAGGTATAAAAGAACATAGGATACAACTTTGTCATTGACTTTTATTTTATGAGAAAGCAAAGTAAATAGTCTAGAGTGGAAAAACACTGTTAATAAGATTATTTTTAATGCATTTTCGCCGGGCAAAGATCACTGTACAAACAAGACATACACTACAAAAACTGGAAACCCTTGGAAATGTACTAAGTGATGCCACAGCATGGTGTTCCTTCAAAAGGAGGGTGAAGATGCAAATTCAGAGCAATTACTTTTTAAATTTTAATTTGGGGAATAGTTTTATTATGGCAAAATTTTCTCTTTTGGGGAGGCGACATATTGGTAGCCTGAATGTACTCCATGAAAACTTAGCTCCCACCTTCTCCTCCCACATACTTTAATTGTAAATTCTTATTTGTTTATAACACTGGGCAGAGCTTCAACCTTTGTGGAAAGCCCAAGGTAACAATTTGGCAACATTTTTTTCCACGGCAGAATTAAAATACAGCAGTGCTCCACTATTCCTCATAAATGAGCAGGCGCCTCTTCTCCTTGGGCTGACCTCTACCTTCAGAATCCGATGGTTTTATTATGATTAATAAATTTCATTTCCACAGAGGAAAAGGGACCATGTCAGCTCAAACTGAAAGCAAGAAACCTTCTTTTCAAATGCAAATTTCTGAACCCGCCCTTGTGTGACACTCCAATTTAGACACAAGGTCATTAAGGGAGATGTGGACTCCAGCATTAGTCTTGCAACAGATATGCCAGGAAGGTCAGTGACCTCACATCTTCAGAGCTGGCTAAGCACTGCCTGAAGGAAGAAGAGTGACTCCCAATGACCTCAGAGGAATGATAGGAAAATGTGTTATGACTGCCATGTTATGAGTGACCTGTGCATTCAGTCACCTTTCACAACACCCATCCTTGGCCAAAGTGGACAATAGTGCAATCAGGTCATGATGCTTTCTGTCTCCCCACATCCCATCTATCAGAAATTACAGATCAATTCTTACATGTGTCCACTTCACTCAATTCATACTACCACTATCCTAATATCACCAACCAATAGAACCAAATCAACAACAGCCTCAAGTCAACTCTCATCTTTTGGTTCTACTTCTGTTTCTTTAAACCACCAGCCATTTATATTTATATCTATTAAATCTATCTGTCATCTATCTATCTATCTATCTATCTCTATCAAAGCTATCTTTTCACCCATCTACCTAGTTAAATATAAATCTAGTTATATCACTTCTTTGTTTAAAATGCTGCAATGGTTTTCCACTGATTTTAGAAAAAAATCCAAATTTGCATGAATCACCCCTGTTCCTTTCTTCTCCTCTCATTTACCCCTCTATTCCTTGTTTACTGGGTTCCACACTGGGCTTTTCAGTACTCCGTGGACACAAGCAAATTCATTCTCTTCTTCGGTCTTTGGCACTTGTTCATACCCCACCTGAATTACTTCCTTGCCTTCTTTATGTCTCAGATCAAATGTCACCTACCCAGAGTGATGGCTCCTTTCCTGAACACTCTTTCTTAAGCACAGTTTCCCACCCCCTCCTCACCCTTCATGTAATACAGTAAATCTCTATTGATTTTGCTTACTTACTCCTCTTCCTGATTTACCTGTCCCCCTTCCTGTAATGCCAGCCCCATTGAGGCTGGGGCCCAATCTGTTTGCTTTTGTATCTCAGTGCCTAGCACAGCACTGGCCATGGTGCAGAGAAGGAAGGAGCAGAGCCAATGCCACCATGTGAGTGAAGGCAGCAAGATGGAGGAGTAGAGAGGAGAGAAGTGAGGCCTGGGAAGACCCTTGTACCCATCACTATGATTCAGTCAATGGCAAGATTCTTTCAGATAAGCTATCTGAAGATTTTCGTTCAGCTGCTCTCAGAGATGTTCAATACCCTTAAAGACACTCAGAAGAAAAGCTGCTGGGGGCTCTGGAAAAAGAGTGTGTAACTTCACAGCACCCCTGAGAGGTCACAAAACACTGGCCACAATGCCATAAAGCTCATTAAAACCCTTTAGGGAAAAGCCAAATAAACAAAGGAATAAAAGGTAACAGCTTGCAGCCATCATGTGCCCTTGTCTATTTTTGATCTTAGCAACAACTTCAAACCAGAAGGCCCAGCCCTGGTCCTGGGAAGGGCAAAGACCTCAAGGCAAGAAGACCCAGATTCAAGTTCAGCCTTTGCAATGTCCTTGGTCAATGACTCGGGCCAATGAATCTCTCTGAGCCTCATTTCCTTGTTCATAAAATAGTATCATTCTGCCTGAAGCCTTGCCTAATTCACAGATAAAGCACATGGAAAGAAACCAGACTCATTTTAAAGCAGCCTGCAGACAGAGGAAGTTATAATACAGGGTTCTTATGTAGACTTTCACAAGCCAATCCCTCACTCCTGCTCAGACTGTTGGTCTGTAGAAGGAACTGAAAGATCTTATTCTGATATGATCATGTATAGCTCTAGCAATCAACTTACAGATACTTTTGGAGTTAACATCTATCTAATTTGTGAGTTACAGATGTCGTTTAAATTGCTGTATTTGAACTTAAGGTGATGTTGCTTCATTTGAACTTAAGGTTAAATAAATAAGTATGCTGCCTGTCGAATGGGAAATATGAACCCATGTTTGTAAAGTACTTTGTCAACCCTACTGAAAAATTTAAATATCACTTATTAATAACATCTTCTAAATCTAGTTGAAATAAGCTGGATGCTCATAAATACAATAAGGTTATGTTGGTAACCTACACTGGGGTTTTAACAGTAAAGTGATTTTCTTCTAGGGATATAGTAAGAATACTGTAATTAATTTCTCTTTCTATATTTCACTCTATATATTTCAACTAAGAGACTTGATGTCCCTAGAACCTGATATTCTTACTTTAATATTACTTCTTCATGCCCCTTGTCCCAGAGATAGCTGGGGGAATCCCAGTGGGGC